AACTAAATGCAAGCAATAAATCACAATGTGGAAAAATTAAAAACAAGACACAAGATTGTTATAGTGGTTCGATTTTCTCTAATGCCTACATCCACTCCCTTGGAACACCAAAGAATTTCAAATCCACTAACGAAAATAAGCTTTTTACGGGATCAAATGAAACCATCATAATAGCTTTTTATGAGATTAAGTGAAACCTTTACAATGCTTTTTCATGGGATCAAGCGAAACCCTTTAGCAATGGTTTTTCATGGCTCAACCATAAACCCACAAATAGCTATTCAAGGTTAAGCTAGAACCTTTACAATGGAGTACAAAGGTTAGCAAGAAAATGCCTATACAAAGGCTAGGTGCTAGGAATTTAAGCTTAAGTGTCATGAAAGAAGAAATTTCAACTTGAATGAAGCAAGTATAGGACTTTTCAAAGCTTGGTAGAAGATTAAAATAAGCTAGAGAGTGAGGATAAGCTTTTAGAGGTCTCTCTAGGGTTTGAAACTTTATCTCAAGTCTTCTTTTACTTCCAAATGACTCAAAGGTGTCTATTCATAGCTAGTGTGGAGTTTAGAGCCATTAGACACAAGTTTAAATCAAATATGACCATTATTGAAGCTTGAGGGTCAACTTCAATGCTCCTAAGGTAGACTATGTTCTTTAAATTTCTCAAAATAGGGTTTCATAGTCAAGTATAAACTTCCTCTACTTGATCTGATTTCTGAGAATGTGATTCTTGAAAGTTTGGACTAATGTAGTCAACTATGGCTTTGCCAGGATCGACTATGTTTCTTGATTTCTCCCATTTTCAAGAATCAGAGTAACCAAGGTAGACTACCACTATGCCAAGGTCGACTATGGCTATGTTTTTCTCCAATTTTTCAAGCTTTTTGTTTTAGGGTTGACTATAGCCACTTTAGGGTTGACTATGGCTTTGTATACTTCAAGATTTTCATTTTTTCTACCTTTAGGCTGACTGGAGCTTCTTTAGGTTGACTCTTGACTTGTGTCTTGAGGTTTCCTTAGCTTTTTGGCACCTCTCTTTAACTATTTCTTCCTTACCTTGTTCCTACAATCAAATAATAATTCAATGCATGCATGCTCTTGGTCTCCTTAACTAAGTATGTGTTGTTTGAAAGCTTTTATGATATTCCCTAATGATGCATAGCTTTTCAAATAATTATGTGATCTTAAAAGATTAAAAATATATTTGAGACAATTTCAAATGCTTGACATTAAGTTCAAGATAACATGCAATTTTTTGTCAAATTAAAACGTGATGTAACTCAAGGCTAACAGGCATCAGTATACTTTAATGTATAATAGGAATGCCACATGCCCACCTATCACATGGGCTTTGATGGTATATACATATTGGCATCATTATACCTTAATGTAAAATAGGAATGCCTCATGCCCATGCCTTTTGTCTTCCATCACATGGACCTTCATCAACCCAAAATGGTATACTTTAGGATCTTTATCCTCCTCATCTTGTTTGTGACTTCATCTTGGTTATAACAATCTTCTTTTACTCGAAGATGATTACTAAAGTCCTCGAGAGATATTTTTTCTTTTTTATGTTTTAAAGTTTTTTTAGTGTCCCTCCTTGATGGGAGAAGTATGTCAATTATAGAAGACATAGTAATTACCTCATCCATATCAAAATCATATATGAATATAACAAAATCTATCTTTCCAACTAATATACATTTTCTATGCACGTCGAATACAATATCATGCATATCAAGGAAAGAAAGAAAACTTATCTTGTAATCTGATGAGGAACCATTTTGTTACTATCCTTGTCACCATCAAATCAATCCAACTTTTGCCAATGAATAAAGCTTCCTCCTTCAAAATGATTTAGCTTAACAATGTTGATATATCTCTTTTAGGGAATCCATTGAATTCTAATAACATGAAAAATAAGTTGTAAAATTGTTGATGTAAATGGGGTTTAGATGAAATTCAAGGAATTGGCAAAATTGACTTCAAGGCTAACCTTTCAATTGACGTTATTTTTAAAACTTATTTCATTCCCACCACTTGGTAAGCAAAAAGGGAATTATGCAAATTGCCTTAGGGATACAATAAAGCCAATGTCTAACTCCGTCTTTACACTTTACGAGAGTAGACCTCTAGATACACCCAAGGATTTGGAAAGTTGTTTAGCCTCAGTGCCTACTTTCTACAGTAAGTAGATTATAAGGAATTTGGACTTTTTTTGATAAATGATGGGAACTTAAGTGTTTATGTTTATTTTCAAAATATAGCACTTCTCTTGCTCTTGATTTTTCTACTCTTATCTTATTTGTTTTAGGTGTCTTAAAATGGTTGGCAATAAGTCTTTTATGTAGGCTTGCGCGTGTCTCTTTTTAAGGATACAACCTTTTGATTGAGGCACCTCTTTGTCTTAAAGATACTTTTTCATTTTGCAAGACACAATCCTTGGATAAAGATATAGATTCAATAATCACCTTATGAAATGACAACTATTCATTTCATAAGATATAATTTTTGAGCTACAATATGAAAGACAACTTTTCATATCCAAACTTTTAAATTGTAAATTTTTTTCTTATTGTCTAATAACCTTTAGATTTAGAGGTATTTTGCCAATATATCACTTTACCAAGAGACATAACTATTTACATGAAAAACTTTCTACAATCCAATAGTCACACTATGCCACACTATGTGATGTAACCTTTGAACTAAGATTGTTTTTCATATAAAGAGACAATCTTTTATTTTGAAAATACACCAACATATACATCATTACCTACTCCTGACTAAAGCCGAAGGCACACTAGGCAAAAAGAACACTATAAAAACGAACTAGTAGTAACACAAAAAGACAACTTTACAATAGTCAAGAACAAAAACAAATCAAACCACCCCATATACACAAAAAAATTTAGCCAACAATGACAGAAACCATTCTCAACCAATTCCTATATCTATACTAGTAAGGGCCACAACACCAGAATAGCCTTTCATACCCCTCAAAGCACAATTAAAAGTAGTGATCCAATTTCCATACCCACTTACATGGAAAACCTAATTTTAATATAAGAAGAAGATGATTGAGATGGAGAGAGAAAAAAAAAAGGAACAAGAAAAAAAACAGTTGAAAGAGAAAAAAATTTATATGTTTTAAAGAAAATTTGTAAGTCCTTAAAGATTTATAATTTTACCTCATTAATAAAGTGGTAGCATTTGTTGAACTAACAACGTATATAAACTATATACTATTAGTGCATCAAATATAGACCCTATTAATTATATGAGCCATTAAGATACAAATAAGTATAAAAGTTTCATCATGTGATATAGAAATTTAAGATTATTTTGGAATATAACGTAGCTATGTTGCAAATTTAATAAGGATGGGATTCAAGCCCAAATACAAAAGTTACCCACCTATGATATAACCTTATAACCTCGACTCAATGCTTAGTATTTCGTCAAGTATTGAGTTCAGTGAGTTAAAATACATCATTTCAATGCAACTACAAATGCTATAATCTAATTTCATCTCAAGTAAAGTGCTTTATACCTAGTAACGATAAAGGAAAGATGAGGTGTATACTCTTAATATATTCATAACAAATTTTGTTGGAGTGTTTTGGTTATAGGGGCTCATCTGATGAGATCTATCTATATGAGTGTGAAATGTAACTTATTTTCAAAGTTCAAGGACTTGGCTTTAATAGCAATCATGAAAAAAGAGTGCAAACATGTGACCAAAATAATGTCATCAAATGTTGTGCATTCATTTGGTGTGAAATCCTTTTGCATAAGATGTGTTCGATTAATCAAACAAGAATAACTTGTTGAAAGCATAATTTATCATGCAATTTCAATCAACTTTAGCATTTTTTTTTATTGTGGCATAATATCTAACACAAACCACTAAATATTTAAAAAATTTAATTAAGTTTTTATTATTTCATTATGTTCAATCAAGCCCTTATTCTTTTATTTTGAACCCGATAAGTCCTAATATTTTTATTTTTAGTCAAGTAAGCTTTTACGACTAATAGTTGATTTAGTAAAAATGTCACATGACGTTAACGTGACATATTACAATATTATAATAGATAATAATGTGATATACTGATATAATATGATGATATAATCATATGATATATTTCACCTCCTATGTCAATGCCACGTCAGTATAACAACGATAGTTGACATTTTGACTAATGAAAAATTAATCCACTATTAGTCATAAAAGCTTATTTTATCCAAAAAAAATAAAAATTTGATTGTTTGTAATTGAAAAATAAAGACTTATTTAAATTTTCTTAAATAATTCAAAAACTTTTTTGAATATTATTTTTTTAATTAAGTAAAAGTATAATTGGAAGATATTTTATTTATGTAAAAGATTTCTAAAATTATAAAAGATTGATTTATATAAAAAATGGTGATAGTTATTGAAAATTTTCAAAACTATTTTCAAATTAATAAGTCACATGATTCACAAGGGATGGTTAAAGGTTGTGAATGCTTAAAAGACACAAAAAACTATGTACATGGAACAAAAAGTATTTATGAAAATATGTACATGGAGCAGAAAACATAGGAGGCACCAATAAATTTTTTATAATTCAAATTATATAAATATGTTGTTCTTTGCACTTGAGCATTTAGCTCATGAATTGGTACATTATCTTTTTACTTAAAACGTAAAATTCGAATCCCTCCTTTTTTAATTATATAAAAAAATATTATTTTTTTATCAGTAAATTGATTTCGTAGATACAAAATATAATCAATTAATGAATTTTGTTGTATAATACTTTTGCATAACTAATAATCTCAAAGCCTTTACTTAATTTGTCAACATTGTGCATTCCCGCGTTCTAACAAAGTTTTCCGAGCAAAAAGATTTGATTTTTAGTAGCAAGCGAGTGAACCGGTGGGACGTCTAAATCTGTTGATGCTGACGTGGCACCGCCGCTGTTCATTAAAATTTTAGAGTGAAAATGAAGTGTAAACAACCCAACCTGGCCTGCCCCTTCTTCCAGCGCTTCTTCTTTGCTTCTAGCCAAAGCCTTTGGCAAAGCGAACAAACCCACACCAAACTCAGAATAAGTTTTGTAGTATTACTACTCTGTTTTCACAGTTCTTTAGTTTATCGCAAAATCAACTCTCCGGATCTCCTTTCTCTTTCTCTCTTGTCGCTTCCATTCTTCTCTCATTTTCTCTGTCGTCAAAGCGCTGCTTTTCTTGTTCAAATCCAGGAACTGGTTGCTTCTGTAACTTGTTGGTTTCCAGGAAAATAGAGCCCATTTAACATTCACATGTAAGTGTTATCCAAATCTTGAGCTCTTTCCTTCGTATCTTTCATTTCTGTACTTTCATCAAGATCTGATTAGTTATTGCTGTTGGATTTTCGAAAATAAACAAAACCCATGAAGGAATCAGATTAGTTTTTTCATTTTCTATTATTAAAGTTGGTTCATCTGGAGATCTGATTAGTTTTTGCATTTGGGTTTTCATAGAAAACAGAAACCCATGAAGGAATCAGAGTTAAGCACTGAGCCAATTGGACAAAATCTGATAAAACTTATCAGCAACCTGTGTTTCTCAGTTTTTGTTTTCTCAGTGCTAATATTTACGGTTATCGCGATCACCTATCAACCACCAGATCCATGGCTGGAGTCAGCTCCAGCCTTAACCAAACTCTTCACTCAAACCGAAAATGCCACTTTCAAGAATGACAACTCCATCCTCAAAACCGGTGAGGATTTACTTGCTGTGCCAGCTCCCGCCGTGCCCCCTGCTTTGACTGTCAATCCCATCACTGAAACCGTGATCGAGAAGTCTGAAGAGAAAATCTCGAATATGAGCCTAAAATCAGATTGTGAGGAGGTAAAGGTTGTGAATTGTTCGGATCCACGCGTTTTACTCACGGTCGAGAAGTTTAATTTGAAAACTTTCAAGTTTATCGTGTTTCTGGAGTATCAAACTCCGGTCAATGGGTCGAAACCGGATGAGTGTGATGCGGCTTGGAGGTTTAGGAACAAGAAAGAAAAGTCGTGGAGAAAGTATAGGGACTTTAGAAGGTTCAAGTTTGGGATTGCAGAGAATTGTACCTATAAAGTGGTGCATGCAGGTGGCTGGCATTCGGGGATTAACGCTCGGAGGCCTCGGATTAGACCCAACACCACAAGGAGTGGTGGGAATCCCAAGCTAGCACCACCGATACGTGATGAAGAGATAAATGATACTATTCCAACTATGGGTTCGGAAATGAACTTTAGAAAGGGGAAGTATTTGTATTATGCACGGGGTGGGGACTACTGCAAGGGAATGAATCATTACTTGTGGAGTTTCCTCTGTGGTTTAGGAGAGGCTATGTATTTGAATAGGACATTTGTGATGGATTTGAGCATATGTTTGTCGGCAACTTACAATCCAAGCAATAAGGATGAGGAGGGAAAAGATTTTAGGTTTTATTTTGATTTTGAGCATCTTAAGGAGGTGGCTTCCATCGTGGAGGAGAGTGAGTTCTTGAGAGATTGGAAGAAATGGGATAGAGGCCATAAAAGAAAAGTGCCAGTCAAGAAGGTAAGGACATATAAAGTGACGCCGATGCAACTTAAGAAAGATAAGAGCACAATCCTTTGGAGGCAGTTTGATGCTCCAGAGCCTGAAAACTATTGGTACAGGGTATGTGAGGGGCAAGCAGCTAAGTACATTCAGAGGCCATGGCATGCTTTATGGAAATCAAAAAGATTGATGAATATAGTGACTGAAATCAGTGGACAAATGGACTGGGATTTTGATGCTGTGCATGTGGTTCGAGGGGAAAAAGCACAGAATAAAGAGCTGTGGCCACATTTGGATTCTGATACATCTCCTGATGCTCTTCTTATGAAGCTTAAAGACATAATTCAGCCTTGGAGGAATCTGTACATAGCAACAAATGAGCCATTCTATAATTACTTTGATAAATTGAGGTCTCAGTACAAGGTCCATTTGCTCGATGATTACAAGGAATTATGGAGTAACACAAGTGAGTGGTACAACGAGACAAGGCTGCTGAATGATGGAAAACCGGTTGAGTTTGATGGATACATGAGAGTTGCTGTGGATACTGAGGTACTTTACAGGTCGAAGACATGTGTTGAAACCTTTTATAATTTGACCAAAGATTGCAAGGATGGAATTAATACATGCTGAACAGGTAGGGAATTACCCTTTCTGTTGTTTTTCTAAACTTTCATGTTATTTCTTAAACTTTCCTGATTCTGTTACAAAATGTAATTGTCGAGATTAGTTCAGGCTTGGTGTTTTCTTGTTATTTTATTATTATTAATGTTGGCAATTTCTGTTCATTCTGAAAACCCTATATATCTAGTAGTGGTATATTCAAATTACAGCAGAGTTTATTCTGTCCTAATACTGTTGAATTTTTTCTTTTTCTCTTTTTGTAAATGAATATTATTCTTATCTCTTGTACATTGCAAGGCAAGAGCGAAGGAAGTCTATATATGCTTTAATGACCAATTCAAATTCATGGGATGTGATTCCAAGAATTCTTAGACATAGGAGTTGTATGCATCATCGTGCCTTTCACTGTCTTCGCTAGTTGTTGCATGCGACCCTTGAGTTGTTTTGGCTTCTTGATGCATTTTCCTTGGTCATCAGGAATTTCTGCGAACAGTGATGAACCAATGTTATAATAGAAATTCAACTTATTTTGCTTGGGGTTCACTGTTGGATGTTTTACTTGTCACTTGTATTAATGCCCCACAGTTGCATTCAAGCGTGTGCACCAATGTCTTTAGATGGAACAATTGGCTGCAGGGTCTAAATGCTGGTATTGGACGGTAAGATTTCCGTTTGGATGCTCCCAAATTTTGCAAAAGTTAAATCCCTTGACCTATTATGATATTACATATCAAAAGACGAATCAAGCTACTTTATGTTGTCACCCAAGTACAACCAGAAATACTTGATGTCATCTGTCGATTTGGGAATTGGGACTAGCAGTGCTTTCCAGAAGTTGTTATCAGCAGTCATCGTTACCCAGAGTTCTTGAGTTATATTTAATTTATACTTGTCTATACTAGAAAACAGTATATAGGGAAGGTAACTTGGGAGGACTGGGATCTTATTTTGTTAAAACTTTTATTACACAGAACTGGCGATGAAGCATATTTTATTTATATAATTTACTTTATAAAAATTCGATATTCACTTTAATTAGTATTACAAACCTTGAATTGAGCTCAACTTGTTAGCCAAGCTGCTTAACCCGGAGCTTCGCTTAATTGTGATCGTGGAGCAAAGCGTGAGCTGCATGAATACCTCACTGGTGACATACCTCAGAACTGTAATGTGTTTTTAAGTAGTATTCACTATTTATTAGTCTTGTATACATATATGCTAGAATTGCAATGTTAAATACGTGAATATTATAAGTTGTGTATCGTTTTGTTCCTTTTGAAATGTTAATGGGCTCTGCCGACCCAACACTTTTCATGTGCACAACCTGTTACTGTGGCAATAAGCAGGGCCTACGGGCTGCTCAGCCTATTTAATATCTCTATGGACAACAATCCTATTGGCAACGCCATTGTACTTCATCCACATGTTGCATCCCTTATTCCTTGTATTGCCTGCTATCTTGCAGTTTTAGGTCTTAATTGTCAAAACTGCTTGCTGTTAAAACCTCACTTTGATGACATATTGTATAATATCATATGAGTGTATAAATGGATTCACATTTTTCCATTAATGTTATGGTTATATTTTTGAGAGATTATTACATAAATTCATCTTAACATGTCAATTATGGATTTGACAAATCAAGATACATTACGTAATTAAAGTTCATATTTAATTAAATTACCAAAGCAAAAATCTTTATTATGTATCTCATTTTAAATTGCCAGATTTATAAATGTTGTAATAAGAAAGATTTATGTAATAACTCACATAGGATTTAATTAGGTCTTAATCATTTGTTGCGGGTCGGCATATATAGTTGAATTTCATACCTGACTTGAGACGTATTAGTTAGCTTGGCTGACACTATTTGAAATCTGATATATCTTATGTTTTGACGAAGGGCAACAAACTTTGGGCCTTTAAATCTCAACCCAAATACTTTGAATGCTAACATTCTTTTGAGAAAGTAGCAAAAGAATATTATTGAGGATTTTCTTCCATTGTGTCTTGATGTTATGGTGTCATGCTCCTTCTTGTGAAAGTAGTTTCTCAAAACTATATGGTTATCAAAGTTTGAATATTTATTAAATGTTAGCAATCATTTGTGGACCATTTTATGAAAATTTGCTCTTCATTTTCAATTTTGTTACGAAACTAGTGTTAGACAAATTTGATTTAAATTTGAAAAAATTTCATAAAATTTAAATAAATTTTTATTCTTTTTTTTGTATTCAATAAGTTTTTATACTTTTATTTTGTATTAAACAAATCTTTATGACTAATAGTTGATTAACTATTATAACTCAAAATGCCTTTTGTCATCTTGGTGCTAACGTGGCATAATAAAGTATTATAATTGATGATTGATATAACATGCTAATGTGATATAATGATATAATTATATGATCATGTTAACGTCACATGGACATAAATGATAAGTAGCATTTTAACTGTTGACTATTATTCAACCGTTAATTACAAGTGTCTACTTGACTTAAACTAAAAATACAAAGATAAAAAAATGAAATTTTTTTTTAAATAATTCAGGAGCTTTTTAAAAGCATTATATCTAAAACTTTTATAATCCAAAATGACACAAGCCCTAATAATTTTGAATAATTAAATTGAATCCAACTAATCTGTCCGAACCCAATTCAATTTAAATCTTGAAAAATTAGTCTAAATATCAAACTAAAATGATTTGAAACTGAAACGAGATGAATTTGAAATAATCCAAAATTAAAATTATTCAATTTCTTTAAAACCTGAAGCAATATGACCCAAGCTCAACCGTACATTTGCCAACTCAAGCACAGACACCTATGTAAAGATAATATTGCAAGTACAACAACGAAAAGAAAGTGTTTTTCCTCTTAAGGTGCCCAAAGGAAGCAAACCGCTACCGATTCATATCATTGGTGCAGTGTTTGCTCCAGCTTTGACTTGGCGCCACTCGGTCTCGCTCGGGCACATACTCCTGCATCATGTGTTATGAAAATGATTGAAAACAGCCTTCGCAATATATGGGAAATTTCAAAGGAGATGTTTGCATGACAGCCTGTCGATATGTTGAATCCTCGGATGATATTAATCGAAGGTGTCCACCAATTTGACTTTTTCCATTAATTCTTCAATTTGTTTTATTTTTAATTACTATACAACCCTACTTAATGTCGTTGTTCTAAATAGTACGAAAAATATCAAAACCTACAAATTCCGAGTCGGATTATGTGATTGTCAAACAATAAATATATTAACATTGTCAATTGACTTTAACTCAAGTGATAAAAGTGGAGTGAGATTTGGGTAAGTACCCATCGTACTCCTTTTTACGTCTTTTTTATTATTATTAATTTTTAATGAGGCTAATTACAAATTGTACAACAGAGATTACATTCATAATCAAATAGTACATTTATGGAAGAAATAATAACACAACTAAATTAAATCAACAAAAAATTGAACTAAACTTATAAAAAATTTATATATATTTATTAATGAATTTTAATTCTGATGTCAAGACAAGAGATAACTCATTGATCAAGTGTGTGTGTGTGTGTGTAGAATTAGGAATATAAAGGGTGGTGTGCATATTTTCATGATTGCTTTAGGGTTTAAATAGTAGTAATAGAGTACCTCCATCTTCTGAATGAGGTCTTCAGCATTCTTTGCGGATATCACAATGTTCCTTGCACAAGGCTTGATAAATCCCTCTTCCACACCTTTGTCGAACAACCCCAGCAAGCAATCATAATACCCATCAACGTTCAACAGACCTACCTGATGATCATTTTCAATTTAAGATTTGATGATGAGAAGAAATCCTGGTTTTGATAAAGTACATGTAATTAAAGGATTTTCATTTGTTTTTACGTACATCTCTAAAAAGATGATAGGAAGCCTAAGATTTGGAGATTTTAAGATGTCACCAACGGGTCATTAACCAAGAAAGTCAATATTCCTTATCATTTTAACTCGTTTTCTCAAAAAATAAAGAAAGTCCAATGTGCTTTTAATTCTGTTTAGGACCCATACAAATACAATGCATGAGATATGATTGCTGTCATGACACATGACCACAAACATTAAAACTATTTCATACTAGCTAGATGCCTTCCAGGGAAAAAAGGTTAGGGTCTATGCAAAGGCCTAAAAATGGGTGTTGAGTAGATTTCATGACCATCCCATCACTAAAATTAAATGGCTCTCAAGTTGGAGGGCCTCACGATTTACGAAGTCCAACTGTTGATTGAAAGAGTTGGACAGGGGATTAGATGTTTATGGTTTTCCAAATCAACGTGCTTGCTTTACTACCAAGATCAGAGCACATTGAAAGAATCTGCCAAATTAAGCCAATTCCTTTTCCACTTGCTTGGGACTGTTTAAACTTGAAACCCCAATCTATGTCTTCTAATGAGTGTTAATCTGTCCCACTATATGTAACTCATCGTATGATCGTCCGATACTTGGCTTTGATGAGCATTAACCTTCAACATACATGAACTATCAAGGCCATAAACAAAACACACACTCAGACATGTGAATGAAGCAGCCTAATCAACTAAAGAGAAAGTCATCACATGTATGCTTGATCAAAATGTATATCTTTCAATAATGGAATTGCTACTTCTTGGAAAATTACGTGCAAAAGGTCTTTAAAGGATCTAGCAAATGCATGATTGCTTATCGTAAACAGAAACGTGCAATGACTGCTAATAATTGTTGTCAAAAAGCTATAATCTCAATCTGCAATAGAGGAAAGCTAGCTCCACGGGAACAATCAATTCTACATATTGCCCTAATTTTTATATAGACAAGTAGTGTTAAGTTTCTTAAGGGTGAATATTTCTGATAAACTAATTATACATATTTCATCAACCAAATAATAATAATTATAATAAGAAAATAATAAGAAGAAGAAGAACTGCTAGTTAACTAGTATGCAAGAAAAATGGAAAAGTTAAATTTTGTTTGCACAATGATATATAATGTTAAGTTTAAAGGTATTATAAATTTTGAGATACTATATATGCGTGTTTTGGCGGTTGAGAGAACATTGCAATAACAATTTATTTAATATTTCAAATGTCGTGAAATTATTTTCCACGAATATCTCAATAATTAAAATTTAGAGATTTTAATTTAGAGATTTCGAATTTTAAATCGAAAATGAGAGAAATGAAATTTATAAGATTGGAGCACGTTATTTTTCAATGTGCGGTCCAAATCATATATATATATGTATATATAAACAAACAATCAAGATGAAAGGCATAGTGAAAATTGAAAAGACCAAAAGAAATGATTTTTAGTCGATTATCATTGACTTCTTCCCTCCTAATAGTCATAGAGATGAAAACCATTAATAAATAGAAGATGTCCAAAAGCAGTTAGCTTGATGAGGATATTGCTAAATATTATACTATATTAACCAATCCTTTGATCTTCTCCTATGTCATTAGTTGGAAGCAACTCTTTCTTCACTTTACACTCTAGTTGCAAAGCAAAACATTGAGATATCTTAAGTAAATCATTAGACATCCATTTGGAAGAGTTGGATTTGAATTTTGGGAGAAAAAAGTGGGTCTATGAGATAGATGTAATGTATGTCTGCCAGCATATGTAATAACTGATAGTAAATCTTGAATTTGTGATTGAAAAAGTTGATATATCATTGGAATTTTAAGCGTGATATATAAAGGTTTGAAAGCCTTTATATCAGTGGTGTTGTTCAATTCAAGTGGGCGAATATATATGTATTCATTCTTTGCATTGTGTTGATATCATATATATTCTTTTAATAAAATGAAAATAGAATTGTAAATCATATTCTAGGCCGCAGTCTTTTGGGAATTGATGCCATAGCTTAGATTTTATTAATATTGACATATATATAGCTCTTTCAGTTCTCTACTTTTCCTTTGCTGTCTAGGGAACTTTTGAAAGTCGGCACTGGCTAGTGTTGTACAATATTGGACATAGAGAAATGTTCTTTACAATCTGGACATGCATAAAGAAGAAGAAAATTAACGGAGGAGATGCTGATATATATACTTACAGGTTTGTGATGGATGCCTAGCTGGGACCAAGTTATCATCTCCAGCAACTCCTCCATTGTCCCATAGCCCCCTTAGTAAACAAAATTACGATTCATAAACACTGTAGCAATGACATTAAGGTAAAATTTCTACATTCGTGTGTACTGCAAATTGCGTGGGCTCTGGGTTCTGGCCGGGATGCTTACCAGGAAGTGCAATAAAAGCATCAGCTCGACGAGCCATCTCTGCTTTTCTTTCATGCATATCGGATACAACCAACACTTCTCCTACTGCATGGCCTGATATCTGAAATCAAAGCATCAGCATCCTAGAAAAGAGAGAATTGAGCGAGAGAGAGTGGGTGTGCTCATTTCATACCTCAACTGAGACAAGAGCTGTGGGGATTACTCTATAGCAAAATTAACCAAAAAAAGAACCATAAGATGTTGGGATATTAATTATAAAATATGATGCATAGATGCATACTAACAAGCTGCTTTCAAACAAGTTAGCATAGTCCATGTCTAGCCAGAAATAAACAAAATTGATACAATGAACAAAAGATGTGATTACTGCATGATGATGAATCAGCCTGCTGCCGGTTTTCAAACGCTTGAAAACAACAGCAAAAGAAAGCGTTTGCGCTAGAAAGAGACTTGAAAGGAATACATTAAACCAATAAATATTCCAAAAAAACACATGGATTCGTAGGGAGTCTGCTTTTGTTATATTCAACACTAAAAAAAGTCGTAAGTTTATCCTTTCTCTTAGTCGCCTTACCCAAGAACATGACGTCCACCGTCATAAACTGTTTGAGAAACCAAACCCATTAGCCCAATACTCCCACCCCCATAGACCAAATCCATCTTCCTTTCGACCTGCAAAATTCCCATTGAAAGCAAATTAATTAACTCATCAAGAGGCTAGAAGCTAGCTAGCTTTGTCTATGCGCCCGAGCATGTGGTGGGTGAAGCATATGGGCATATACAAGAGAGAAACGAGAAAAGAAGCAAAAAGAAAAGAGAAAGAGAGAACAAGAACCAGCTGTCTGCCAAGATCAAGAGCTGCATCACTGAATATCTTTCTGTTCCCTGAATTACTTCCACAAAAGACACAAACCCTTTTGAACTTACCCATAATTAACCTCTACTTCGCCTCCAAATTAAGGAAAACTACAGAAAATATAATGTCAATAGCTATATATATGCATATTTCCAAGGCTCCCTCAAAGAAGTTTCCACATCAATGTATATGGTATAGTTTTTAAGGAAAAGCAATATTGTGAAATAATTAATCAAATGTTACTGTGTGTACTGTAGGGCTTTGCATGACACGTGAGAGATGATGTTCATAGCATGGCCCATGCTTGAATGATCTATATTGATGCAAGTTCAATTTTCAGTCAAAGGAGATTCTCCCGTCCTTTTAGAAATAATATATCTATGTTTGGTGGGTGCACCAATAAGTTATGACTGTTCCCATTCCTTGGAGAGAATGAGAGATTCATCTCCTCCATCTCTTTGCAAAATCGAATTAGGAGTCTGTGTGTTTGGTGACCGCTAGCTACTTGTTTATCAAAAGTCACCTCTAGGCTCTAACCCCTCCTGCATTAGATATTATACATACAACTTTTTGTCTTCTGGCTCCCATGGTCGAACCTAATAGAAATACAATAGTAGAAATAAGTAAATGGAAGGCCAATGAAAAGAACAAATTTTTCCTTGATTGATGAACCATAATCATTAGAGACAAACCCATCCCATGTATTAAAATACTTTCATATTTTATATTTTTATAAAATAATAAATAATAAAAAAAGTAAATATCAATTAAATAAAAATGGTTAAATGAGAAGGGCTATGATTGTATAAGACACAAAATTCTGTAAATTTTAGCATTTTCTCATTGTTGGTACATACATTTAAATGATACCAACCTTTATCACCCATGATGTAATCATGATGGCCAAGGCCCAAAGGGGTCATAACATTAAAATGGATTCAAGCGTGCATTAAGGATGATGATGATGCGGGGGCCACATCAAGCCCACCTTTGATCAATTGAAGGATTGTCATGCTTTATCATGTTTCCTTGAATGATCATGCCTACTGCCATTGGTATCAGTACACTTAAAATATTGAGAACCCAATATGAGCTTGATATGTTATTATTATTATTATTTTATATAACAAAACATTTCTTTCTGGTGGACTAACTCTGTTTTCTTTGTTATAGACTTTTAAAATGTGTGTGCCCCAAGTGCGATAAATTGCTTTCTAATATTTGAATATGGCAAGAACTCACTTTTTCTCACATATAGAAATTGATTTTTTTAATATATAAATATAAATTTCAATCCAGTCAGTTATAATTAATACATTTCAAGACAAATTAGTATAGACAAAAACTAACCGCCTTGTTGAGATAGGAGGAATATTCAATATTATATGACGTAGTGGTAACCAACAGTAACCAAGCTCCAATCCAATTTTGAATAAGCAGGAAAAGGTTCCCTTTGATAATTCTAAAAGATATAATATCTAAAAGTTATTTTAAATTATTTAATAAATTTTTATTCTTTTATTATATTCAATCAAGTTCTTATACTTTTATTTGAAATTAAATAAATTCTTTTGATTAATAGTTGATTAATTGTTATGAACTAAAATACCATTTGTTATTTTATATCATTAGATGTTAACGTAACATATCGACATGTCATAATGAATGATGATACAGCATACTCATATGATATGATAATATGATCATATGAGTCATTTTTCACCATTTAAGTATCATATGAGTATAAAATGACAAGTGATAATAATCAATTTGTTAATCATAACCACTTATTTGATCCAAAATAAAAATACAATGACTTAATTGAATATAATAAAAAATATATAATTTATTTAAATTTTATTGAATAATTTAAAAAGATTTTTTCAACTATTATTTTATTCTGAAACTAAAATTTAACTGTTTGGTTGCAGAGGCAGATAACTTTTTTTGCTACCAACAAATCACATGATTCTAAACTTTTTCTTAAGCAATGGATCTCAATAAGTCAAGATTAGGGTTTTCATTTTGATTTGATTTTAACTAAAAATAAGGGCTTAAACAGTAGCTTGTAGGTTGTTAATGGCCAAATAAGTCTTGCAGCCGTCAAGACTTGAGTGCCAGTTAAGTTCCAAGTGTCAATTTTGGGAGTTTGATAGCTTTGGCGGTGGTGACAGCTGACTGCCGCTTCAATGCCTCAAACCCGCACCCCTTTTTCACTTAGTGCACTGCTTCAGTCAAAAGGGGAATTGATCAGGAAAAGGACCTTGCCATTTTACAAACTCCCCAGATTTTTTTCCCAAGTCATTTAATTTTTTATGATTGATACCATCATTAGCACATGCTTCCTTATTTTAATTTCTTCTAGACTAGATATATATATATATACACCATAGAGAAAGAGAAAAGTTTGATTAGGTACTTCTACCCCACAAGAGAACACGTAAAAGCGCATTAAACCTACACTTCCAAACGACAAAATAATGCCCCCAGCTCCATTATTGCAATGACTCAGTTTAGGTATTATTAACTTCAGACTTAAATTACATGTCTTTTAAAAGTTTAAATGCATGATTAGTAATAATTGACTTATACTCTTATATAACTCTTAATAATCAAATACGAGATCACAATCTCACTCATTAAAATTTTTGATATTCTCCTTAAAACCACACATCATATACACAATCAATATGAAAGCTCATAGTGGACTGATACATATTTTGATAACAATTATAACGACCTTGATCCAAGTATCATTGATACAATAACTTTTTAAACTTAAATCATGAAAACTTTAAGAGTTTAAATTCAAATTATTATTGATAATTTATTTAAACCTTATTACAATCGTGTTAAAAAACATCATTTATGACTAAAATCAACACTCTTAAGACGTCAACATCCGATAATTTAAGATTGCAAGAAAAGTTGGGGTCCGCTTGAGCTTGATGTGTCTCAGGCACCAATGACCAATCCAGATTTTAGCGGAAAATGTTTCTTACTCCTGTTTTCACTATTGTTAGAACAGATTCAACATTCCAGTTGGAATCCTACCATCTTCGACGCTGCTAGAACATCACACAATCATCACCTCATCTTAGTTTGGCCATCGTGGTAGCTTTATTTCTATGATTTTTCGCTTCCAATCACACATTCAAGCACATAAGATTATCAATCAAAGTAGTATAGCTCTTCGAAACATATACTGTCTGCCACCATTTGAACACATTGAAATATTGCAGGGCCATGGTTTCTTCAGATTCATGCTTTGCCTATGTAGATAAATTGGTCTTTTCAGCACTTGAAAAAGCAGTCAAATATCAACAAACATTAACATAATAAAAGAAAACAAAATCCCCCTTCTGAGCTAAGGAATATATAGGCTTACTGCTATATAACATTGTTAATTGCTTATGAGTTGTGCAACAACACCGGTGGCAAGAATTGACACGGCGGCATGCAATTAACAATTGTTGCAAATCTCAGCATTCAGCCTCCAGAAAATGCTACATATAAAAGGCAGTCACGAGGAGAACCTTTTTAGTTGCTTTTAGGCATGCTATTTTGAATTATGTACAGTGTGTGATTGGCATTGGCAGTTACCTTTTGCAAAGGAATATCATGAATGCCAATGATGGATATAGGAGTAGCAACAAAAGCTCCACCATGGATTTAAATGGTTGTTGAAGCACTAGCTGGAGATTTATAATGGCGTGCCACAAATGACTCAACAAGTGGATTCACAAGATGTGGAGCTTCATCCTACATGCACATCCATAATAGAGAGATAGAAGTGATTAACAACATATTATAATATCCACGAACCGCAATCCATTCTGATCAGTGTTTCTTTAAATGACACTTCCTTTAATCAACAGCAAACCAAAGGCCAGTATTTAATGCCAAATTTTAGAAAGCAAATATTTAAATATTTTAGGGTAAATGGTCTAAAAGATATCTGGTAATCTTTGAACATGGTTGTACGTGAAACAAAGATGTCTGAAAGTTCATTCTTGTAAACACACTTCAATGTGTCACATTTACTCTTGCATACATGCAAAGAAGCTTGTCTCAACACACAAACACACACACACACACACACGCGCGCGCGCGCTTGAGCGTGCGCGAGCGTTAGTGTGTGTGTGTGTGTGTGTGAGAGAGAGAGAGAGAGAGAGAGAGAGCAACCTGAGGGCAGTGGCCAACATCACGAAGGATGATAAAGTCTTCTACGGAATCAAAATTCCCATAGGCGCTTCCAAGCTCGATTCTTTCCCAGGGATCCTTGTCACCCCATGCTATCAAAACAGGGCACTGCAAAAAGATGAAACAAGAAACAGAAACTTATGCATGAAAGTAAACATTGGACTGGAGGGAAAGAATATGGCAAATCAGAAATCAGTTGAAGAAACTCACCTTCACCTGTGGCAGTAATTCCTCAGGGAGGGGACCACCTGAGTAGCATATGAACTCAAGAAAAACATCAACAGCTCCAGGCTCTAGTCCTGGATGCAGGATACTCTGAACTAGTTCTTCAGTAACTTGAGAGGTGTCATGGTAACACTAAAATGCAATGCAGCAGAAGAAGTCAAGGCATTGCTAACTTTGTGCTTCTCTTTTCAATAAATTTCTTGGTTTCTCTATATTACACTAATTTGTCATACATATCATCAAAATCTCAATCTCAGTTCTCAATAATTACTTCTTCAATGCTACAACACCTCATAACCATATAGCTTCAAAGTTTAGATATAACAGCATTGCTAGCTTTTCAACTTAAAGACTAAGATACCATAAGTCCATGAAATTGGAGATTATGTAGGAAGCTGTCTGAGGCCCGCTAGTAAATAATCTTTTGCATTTTTCCCCTTCAACAGGAAGGGTTCTAGTTCTTATTAAACCCAAAATTATTCTAGTTTATAACTTTTTATGAGAGTATATTTATGGAAATAAAGCAAAGGAAAATAATGAGTTGAGAAAAAATGATAAAAACCCCAAATGCAGAAAACCTCTTTCACCAACCAAAAGGCCCAAACAATTTTCATTTTTTTAATCCATTTCCTTCAATGATAAAAAGCCCTATATGCACATAACCTCTTTCACCCACAAAAAGGTTTTCCTTTTTCTTTCCTTCTTTTATCAATATTATTCCCCTTTTCTTTCTTTTCTTTTCATCTCTCCTCCAATTCTTCAAAAAAGTATTAATGATAGTAAATATTTTTAATGGGATTTTTTATTTTTTTAACATTCTTACATTCTTACTCATAAGATTATGAGGAGAATTATATTATTTCACATATATCTTTTTTATTTTGGTTCAACTTTTTAATTTCATTTTATTTACTATGTTTATATTTGATTTGTTTTTATTCCCAATTAACAAGGTTTCTTTATTTAATTTATTTCTTTCAATTTAAAATTATAGTTTGTTTTAATAAAATCGAGTCTTTTATTTATTTTATTTTTTAAAAATAAAAAAACTTACCATCAAATAGTTTGTCCTGAACCCTAAACCTCTTCTATATTAAGTTTGACAAATGTAATCTTAACTTCTCTTTACAACATTTCTAGAATAGCTCTACTCTAACAGTACTTTCTACGGAAACTTCAGTTGGGTCAATTATGCTCTTAAAGCCAATAAATGTAAAAATATTATCATCTTATAATCAAAACATTGGTTTTAAAAAAGATTTTTTTGAAAACTCATGTAACATGATTCATATGCAAATTGCATGCTGAACAAAAACAAGTAGCAGCAAATAGTAGTGGACTACCATGGCCTAACAAATAGGTCACAACCACACATATAAAGGTGACTCCAAGCATAGCATGCACCATTAAGCTTTCCCCTCTCCTTGCCTATTCAACTCTATTTTATCATCAGTCCAATCACTGCTCATTTTTCTTCTCATTTTATCATCCATTGGTGCTGAGAAAGCAAGGGGGGGAAAAGGTGGGAATCCTCAATGCTTTTGCTTCAATCTTTTGCTTCTAAAAGGGAAATATTAAACAGAAAATGAAAAAAATACAGATCTAGCTCCTAGCCCTAGAGAATATTCAGTTTTCACAAAATTTCACATATCAAGGTGACTCTTTTGAATGCCAAAAATTAAGAATCCAAATGACAAATTAATCTAGAAAAAAAAATTGAACTTTTATTGGTTGTAGGAAGAAGAAACTAGCAAGCATTGAATCATAGCTATGTGGTAAATCTGTCAAAATACTCAACTTGTGATACTTACTAACTTGTTAAAGCCTGTTCTAGGGCCAAGGTCAGAGGTTCAAACCTCAGTAACATCTAGACAAGCTAACTTACCCAACATATATATACAAAGATTAATTCATTTCTTTCAAAAGCCATTAGAAGACTACCTGGCAGAGAATGCTTCTAACAGATTCTGGTGTGGCAACGGATCTGAAGAAAAGTTTGCCCACTGCAGTATTCCTGCCAAGACAGCATTACTACATTAAAACCAAGATGACTAGTGCAAGAATCTTAAATAAATGATATAAAAGAGAAGAACCAATTTTTTTTTCCACTAAGCAGAAAAAGAGACAAGTGCTTCCAAATCAATGTTACCTCAGCAAACTCTGAAATGATGTGATGAAAGGTCTTCCAAACCATGGCTGTTTTGTAATATGAAGCATGCGCAGAGATATATTTAATAGGAGTATACCCCTACAGATCTGTGGCGTTGTGACTGCTGCTTGAAGACCAACCAGTCCTACATGAAGACCCCGTTATTTTAACAAGCATATTGCCGTTATTATTAATCTCCACAAAATATGAAATGCAGACAAATCCAAGCTTTGCTTGTTTTTAAAGAAAATAGCATCAAATGAGAAGGTCTGCATCATTCAGACAGAAATATTGGCATCTTAAAACTACAGGAGTCCACCAACACTGTAGGAGTAGGTATCTAGAGGCCATAACCAATCAGATACAGTGAAAATGACTGTCAACAAATTTTAAATGTTACTGAGGGCATGAGTTGCACAGTATTCAAACATCTCATTCCAGCTCTCTTGACAGCTCTATTAGTATAAGGGCCAGCCTTGCATGTCAATATCAATTTCCATATTTATGAGGTCATAACAGTGCATTTTCAAGCAAGAAGAATAGTATAATAATTTAAATAGTGATGCAAATGGGAAAGGAAACACATGGAACCAGCAATGAAGAGTAAAATGTAACTGGAAAACTAACTTATATCCAGGCAAAGCAGGCACACACATGTCAAGAAAGGTGGTAAGTGTACCCAGATTATATGCTTTCCCAGAATGAACTAAATTTAAATATTCTCAATGGAGAACCTATACGTCAAAGGATAATTTGGCAACTTCCTTTTGTTTTTCATTTTTCTTTCTTTACCTTATATCAACTTAACAAGCAAAAATGTTATGCAGCAAAAAACACTTGTTTAGGTGTTTTTATTATGCCAATAGCATTTTTTAAAAAAAAAAAATTATGGTTTATTTCATTGTAAGAGGGAGAGTATCCCTCAATCACAATAGGTTAGATTTTGTGCCTATAGGTTTCAATGTGAAACTTTTTGGCTCAAAATGCTCACCCCTGTTGTGAACAAAAAAGATCACCTCTGTACCCAAAAACCAGAGTACCTGTCCAACTGTACATCAAACAAGGCCACCAAAATGCCTCTACAAAACAAAAAAAACCACCAAGATGCCTCTGCAATGCAAAAATAATGAGGCCTCCAGAATAACTGACAAAACACATCCCCACATGCACAATCAAACAATTTTGTTAGCCAGTAGAACAAAACCACCTCCCCTGCTTTTTTTTTTCTGTGGAAATGGTGACCATTCTATTATACCAATAGTTAGGCATGCAGTCTAATGATATCTCCTCTTTCCTTTCTTGCGTTTTCAGAGGAATATGAAAATATAGTTTAGAACCTTTAATTGGGGGAATCTTCTTTTTTGCCAATGGGGCAGAAGGAAGACAGTGCCATGGATGCTCAGCAGCCTAAAGGTAGATCAACAATAACAAAACAGAACAAAGATAGTGTTGTCTTGCCTAGCAAAAGCAAAGCCAAAAGGTACTAACTACTAAGTCATAATGGGCAAGCGAAAGGGGATAAGAGTAACATACAAAACACCTCACTGGAAAATGCTTTTAGCCCAGTATCTGCAGGTCAGTAAGGTTCAATTAATTACTTCATTCTCACAACTATAATACCACCATATCCAGAAATAATTATCATGAGTAGAGGAGTCACTGAAGTCTGAAACCAATCAAATATAACTGGCCACCAACTTTCGAACTATACACAATAAGTAAAAGCCCTCAAGAGAAGGAGTTGTGTAGAAGGCAAGATGGATTTTAAAGTTTACTGTAAATTATGCTAAGACATCAGCAAAGCATCAAAATGTGAAAAAAAATAATCTGACATGAATTAGAACAATAACAAGGGTTGTTACCTCCAATAGAGTTGCATATAAAGAATGCTTTGTCTTTAACCACATTGCTACAAAAATCATTCAATTGGGAAGCCCAGGTCTCAAATGTATAGAATGAGTCCCCAACCTCCCGAGGATTTGGTTTGTCTGAGTATCCATAACCAATAAGATCAATTGCATACACCCTATGTGATTTTGCAAGTACTGGAATATTTTTCCTCCAATGACTACTGTATTAAGCAAGAAATCACAAGAATTGATCATCAAGTTTGTAGAAGCAAGTTATTAAAAAGAAACATTTAAAACAATCAATAATTGATAAACTGTCAAACATGCATATACAGATTGGCTGAATGAGAAAATAAACATTTGAGGAATGGAAAAAACTCAGAAGAAATACAAGAAACAGTCTACAAGTTCTAGATTGCAATGAACCATCCAAAAATAAACTGGTGTGTTGACAATTCTCTAAGAACAAAGGCATCTAGCACATCATGTCCTACATATCTCACTATCGGGCATCCATAGTTATACAAATGATGATTAATTACATTATGAATCTCAATTTAATTAGCCACCTTATGCTCAAACCTATCAAAATATGCCTTTTTGTTCCATTGAACCCTTGGATTCTTATGACTAACATAGCACGCATATCTTGCCAGGCACTTAATATTTATAATTTCCATCCTTGATTCCCTTTGGAACAAGGCTCAAGGCTTCCCTCACTCAAAATTTAGCTGCTATGACACAAGTGCACCAAGGAAGACCAACAGATCTACGGAAAAGGGAGTCAAGACTAAATGTTTTGAGGAAGCACGATATAAAGACTTCTTTATTGTTAGATAACCTCATTAATTGGCATGCAGTTTTGCTGCAACCAGAACCTAAACCACCACCACTAACACAATCACAACCGTTGCAAACAACATACACGCCACTTTGCAGTTTCTTTAAATACTTAAAACCTGTCAAGTGAAACTTAGGGCAATTCTTAGTTCAAGAACCAAAAAGTTGTTTATTGGATAATAAAGACATCTTAAAATTCCAGTTCTGTAACATCACTCAATAAGAAAAATGGTAGTAGAAAAGATAAAAAGGAAAGGAGAGCCTCAAGGAAGGACACAGATGACTAGTGACTGCAACCACTTTTGGCATGTTGCTTGATATTGAGATACAGAAAAAGGATAATTTTTAAGAAAGTTGTGAGGATCTAACTAATCCTCTACCTCTCTCGAAGCAGTATTATTCATTACCCTCTCATGATACAAACATGTGCATTAGCAGCAACACTGTCAAGCAAGACAATTTCATTATAACATACATGAGAGGTCTTAGAACAGAAGAATAATAACAACCAAGGCTTTTTAGCAATATCTACTTGATTTCAAACAAAAACACATGCATGCAATGCAAAATATGAGAATACAAAAGCACAACTACATTGAGCAATTTTTTACAATCAATACCTATAGAAATTACTTGTCTGCTAATGAGAAGCAAAATTTCAATTATGTAGACCTGTTTGCTCCAAAACCATGCACTAAAACCAAAGCAGGACCACAGCTCCCAGAACATTGATAGCGGATAGAGTAGCCCCTCCAATTCCATGTACTGTAAAACAGAACATACGCCTTTAAAACTAGAGAAAATTAAAGTTATTGAATTATAACTCGCCTTTGGGCAACTGCAGAGTATAATGACGATGTTGGATAATTAATGTTACGACATAGGGTAACTTTTACGCTACAAACAGAGTGAACATTTTTATGGTGTCAAAAACTATTCTTTCTTGGTATCAAAAAGGCGGATTTAAGGAAATTTCTAAGATTAAAGTGCGTCTCAAGACTCCTAATCCAAATAGCTAGTTAGGAAAACGTATTTGTATGAAATGGTTTACTTGGTAGTTTGATTTGGTAAAGCGTAAGAGGCTGTATATAACTTCATGAAGATTCTTCTTACAACTATTGTGCACCCTACTAGATTAAAATTCTCTCAGAAAGCTAAAAATCAACGCCCATGGGCATTCTACCTCAGCTTTTTAGCTGTATTTTCCGCAGTTCTAAAAGAAATTCAACTACTTATACAATATGCTAATGTAGAAGAAGACGAAGAAAAGAAATTAAAGCCAATAGAAAGGGGAAAGATATAGAAGAGTACCAGCTTTGAACGTGAGGCTTGGGGCTGCTCTTGTCTAGAATTTGATCACCTGTGGTGGAATGGTCACCTGAAAGGGAGTATACAATGAACCCATTTGGCCTGAAGCGTGAAAGATTGGAAATTGAAGGGAGGGGTGACGCGGAAAGCTTGGTTCGTCGAGCAGAGAACAGTGGAAGAGGAAATTCTAGTTTTGACAAGGGCAGAGTAGTAAGAGAGTTGGAGCCGGTTGCCATTAGCATTGAGGCGAGAGAAAGAGAGTGTGTTTGTGTGTCTGACACTGACAGGCCGCGTGGAGTCAGGAGTGGTTCAGAAAGCAAAGGAGCCTCAGATTGTATTTGAGGTTTTCCAGTGGTGGGTGTTACTCCACGATGCACACATGCAACTCACTCACACGGCCTCTCCCTTCTCGTTGATCGTTCAACCTGGACGCTGGTCCAGCCGAATCGGGTGCCTTTGCTTGTCGCATAATATTTGCCAGGTGCTAGACCGGTTAGTGGTAGGATAGTAACTTAAGAAGAAATTAATATTCAAATTCGTTTTTAGGCAAATCAGTTGCCACTTGACACTGACAGAAAGTTCTCCAACTGCTCAAACAGCCTTAATCATTGAGGAGCTTCAATAGGCAGATCCATTTTGCCAATTAAGGCTTGACATCATCAATCACCAAGGGTCGTGGCTTAGACAGGTTTTTCCATTAATGGAAAAGTTCAAGGACAGGATAGATAAGTAGATTCATAAATACTTAGTTGGTACGTCGGGTGAGAGGATCAGGTCAACACGCACATGATCTAAAAATCAAGTTGTTATATGTTCATTAACTAAAGTTAACTTCAATAAATATCACAGCAAATTACTCATCAACATACCTCCCCTTAATGAGCTGCTCTGAGACTCCTAGTGCCTCTCTGGGTTGCTGGAATCACTCTCTTGGAACTGCTTTGCTGCTTTGAAGATCAAGAAAACACACCTAAACCAAGAGAGGATGCATGATCCCAAGTGCTGTTCATATCATCAACATTGCCAGCCCAATCACTATTATTATAGCCACTTAGTTTCAACTTTGAAATTTTCTCAAATCTGATTCCATAATCCATGGTGCCCATGACATACCTTAGCATCCTTTTTGCTGCTCCTAAGATGCAAATGACTAGGTTTACTCATGAATCTAGGGAGCAAACTTGCTGCAAAAATCAAATCAAGCCTTGTAGCTATGAGATAAAACAAACTTCCGCGTAAGCTTCTATACATGCTTGCATCTACATTTCTTCTACCTTAATTTCTACTAAATTTTTCATTCACCGCCAAAGGAATATCAACAGGTTTGCAACCAAGCCTGCCAAACTTTTTTAACATATTTCTTTTGATAAATGAAAACTCCATGTCCATCTTCACATACCTTAATACCAAGAAAGTGATGTAGCAACCCCAAATCACTCATCTCATATTTTTTTCATCATCTCCGTTTTTAATTTTTTTAATCATTTTTTTGTTGTTTCCTGTATGAACCAAATTATCAACATAAAGTGTAATGAGAAGAATGTCAGCTGTACCTTGATGCTTGACATACAAAGTAGGCTCATTCTTGCTTCTTTCAAATCCTTTCTCAAGGAAATAACTATTGATCTCACTGAACCATGTTTTAGGAGCTTGCTTCAACCTATATAGAATTTTCTTTAAGTTATACACTTTCTTTTCTTGGCCTTCAATTACAAAGCCTTAAGGTTGTTGCACATACACTTCTTCAGTTGATACAAATTCCAATTTTTTTGAATTACTATGTCCAAATGAGCTACTAGAGCAAAAGTCTCATTGAAGCCAATAACAAGCTGTTGCGTATAGCCTTTTAATACAAATCTAGCTTTATTTCTTTGGATCGAACCATCTAGATTGTGTTTCATCTTGTACACTCCATATCGATAACTTCTTTGTCATTTAACTTCTCTACCAAGTATCATGTTTTGTTCTTTTCAATTGCATCGATTTCTTCTTGCATACCATTCTTGCAAACTTCCTCCTTGATTGTTTCTTCAAAAGTTTTTGGTTCTACAACACAATAATTGCATTTAATGTAAGCATCACTCAAAACTCCTCATTTTTCTTAGAGTTGAGTTTCGTAAAGAAGAATTAGAGCTCGGTAGAGATGGAGAACTTTATTAGCCTTGAGTTACATCATGTTTTGATTTGACAAAAATCATATATTATCTTAATCTTAATATCAAGTATTTGAAATTGTCCCAAATGTGTTTTTAATCCCCCAGAGTTACAAAATTGTTTGAAAAGCTATGCATCAATAGAAAATATCATAAAAGATTTCAAACAATGCATATTTAGCTAAGAATGCAAGAGCAAACATATCTTGAGATGTCATTTGAATGTAGGAACAAGGCAAGGAAGAAATAGTTGAAGAGAAGCGCAAAAAAGTTAAAGAAACCTCAAGACACAAGTCAAGAGTCAGTACTAGAGAAGCACAAATAGACTCAAAGGCAGAAAGAGTATAAAACTTGAAGAATATAAAGTCATAGTCAATCTTGAAATGTCCATAGTTGACCTTATTCCAAAAAGCTTAAGAAAATCAAGTTGTGAACAAACATAGTAGACCTTGGCTTAAGTATAGTTGATTCAAACAAATCAAAAGCATGAAAAAGGTTGACTTTACATAGACATAGTCGACTATAGAAGAGGCATAGTCGATTATAATAGCTTAGATTTACAAAAAACACATTCTCGGGGAGAAAGATCAAATAGAGGAAAGATATACTCAACTATAGAGCTCTAATTTGAGAAATTTGAAAAACAAAGTTAACTTTAGGAGCATTGTAGTCAACCCTTAAGCTTCAACAATGATCGGCTTTCATTCAAATTTTTGTCTAATGGCTGCAAACTTCACTTTAGCTATAAATAGCCACATTTGAGCCATTTGGAAGTAAAAGAAGACCGAAACCAAAGCTTCAAAGCCTAGAGAGACCTCCAAAAGCTTATCTTTACTCTTTAACTTCATTTTAGTCTCCCATCAAGCTTACAAAAGTGGCATACTTGCTTATTTGAGCTGATATATCTTCTTTCACTATACCTAACGTAAAAGCCCTAACATCCAACTTTTGTATAAACATTCTTGCTATACCTTGTGCTCATCTTGTAAAGGTTCTAGCTCAGGGGTGGAGTGTCCTTTTGTAATGCGCCTCCCTCTCCCCAAATTTTTGAAAATTTTCATATATTATATATTTTTTAATGATTTTTTAAAATATTTTTTATTAAATAATTAATATAATTTAAAAAATAATAAAATGACATTATTAGCCCCATTTAATTTCACTCAAATTTTTAAATTTTTTTTAATTTTTAAGTTTCCCCATCCATATTTCCTCTTTTCTTTTCTGTCCTTATATTGTGAATTTATAAAGAGGTAAAGTTTTTATTTATATTATTTTTATTTATTTATTTTTTGAATTCTATTGTATTTGCTCATATATTTTAAGTTTCTATAGATTTTTTTTAAAATTTCTATGAATTATCAACCATATTCTTTTTTTTTGTTATATAGGTTATATCTCCTACTTGTTATTGTTTTCTTTCCTGTTATGTGGATTTTATTTTTAATGATTTTAATTTTAAATAATTAAAAAAATTAATGCATATTTAATTCTCAAATATAAGTTCTAGTGTTGCATTATTGGTTATTGTTTAAAATTTCACTAATATCATTTTTTATTAATCCTAATTATATAAGAAAAAACTATCTTGAGTATATGTCATTAATGTGCTTTACGTTTTATATTTAGTTGAAAGGAAATTATCTTGAGTATAAGAAGAAATTATTAATTTATATATTTTATATTTTATGCATTATAGTTTAATATTTATTATTATAAACTTAAATATAATAAAATAAAAATATTAGATGTTGACCACATTAATTTTTTGTCATTAATATTGAGAAAGACAAACTTCGAAACAAAATAGATGATAAGTTTCTTACAAATAATTTAGTTGTTTATTTTAAAAAAGATATTACCATTGTGGAACAAAACTTTCCTAGAACAGTATTATAAGTTTTTTTTCTTTTTGTTTTTTATTTATATGTTATATAAAATTATTATTTATTATAAATCTTTTGATTAT